TATGAGGTCTACTCATAATAGATTACCTAATAATCCTTTTAAGTTAAATGATAACTGTCTTCTGTCAATTTTTCCACCCGAGTGCGAAGTCATTCCCCGCATCAAGAGCAGCGAGTTTGGGACAAGGCTCTTTATTGATGACAAAAAATAAATAAAATAAGAAAGACAAAAATTTTATTCTCAAACACTTGAAAAATTAATCTTAGTACAAACTTTAAAAAGGACAAACCAGTAATCGGCTCCTGAACAAACTTTATCTTCCAACTGGAGATATTGCCTTTTTGTTAGTAGCTGTAATATATGAAAAATTACGGACTAAAATAAAAGAACTTTTACTTTCTTTTGCCGAGGTTCGTTGCTCATTATATATAGAGGATATTACACGGTGGCGAGAACATAAAATTCATATCTTCGAGCCAACGTGTAATGTTCTTTTTATCATATGGAGAAACCAATTCAACAAAAGCAAAAGGCGGGAATCGTGACGTCATTGAACGATACGACACTCACAAAGGTGACATACGGAAAATACGCCACTCGGGTCCCGGATGAAGTGGCGTATGGAATCTACGAGTGGTTTAGTTCCCAGTAAAACGCTCTCCTTCATATAATAATAGGATTTATAGCAGTCTTATTGAAATAATTCAATGCAGTGCGTAAACCGCAGAATATGTAACCTGGCTACGTAAACTACTTTCAAGGTTATCACTTCTTTCCACTCCAGAAGTGATCTTTCCTTCTCACTTTTAAGAAGAAAAAAATGTCAAGAAGTGTTTGATGTCGGCATTATCGGATTCAATCCCAGGTGGAGGAAGCATACTGCTACAGTGCCCATACTGCTACACCATGGTGGCTTTGCTGGCCAAGGCCATTTTGATTTACAGACAAACGTTTACAGCAAATGAAAGCACCATTCCGAGAGAGTGCGTAGTCCTAATCACAGCTATTCTCAGTGCTTACTCTAATCAATATAGTCATTGCTCTTATCACTATTTTTACCGCTTTAACCCCCTAAGCGTAGCAAAGTCAGTGCTTAAGCCTAATCACTATAGTCAAGTCAGTGCTTATCCCTAATCACCATAGTCAAGGCGCCCTTCCACTATAGAGAATTTCTTTCAGTAGACACGTCATAAGGTGTCCGACGTGATTTTGGTAGAAAGAATTGAGTTTCTGCCTATACTTCTACAAGGTAGCCTGCGAACTGCCGACGTATTTCCGGTCGTCGCCTCTCTCCCTCCGAAAAATAACTTCGGTTTTGTAGAAGCAGAAAAACCGGATGCTCTTGCAAGCTACTACCAAGGCGGCTAGCCGTCTTGTGCGTCCGCGTCCCTGCCCTCTTGTGGGAGGCTGATGCATATCGGTCACAATCAAACGAGTCTCAAATGGCTGGAAATCGAGCCTCGGTAGTACGCATGCGCACAGAATAGTTAATTTTCCGACACAAGTAGTGGAAGAAAATTGAGAAGTAACGTTATTCCGCTATGTTTCGATGTTTCCAACATTATTAGATGGCATTCATTTGTCCTTGCTTTTTATGCAAACGTACTAATACGAACTTCGCTTTTTCTTTTTTCTTATCATTCTTGAGGGGGACCCAATCATGTTGGATAAATCAAGACGTCGAATAACGTTACTTCTAATTCTTCTCGTTTAATGCTAAAAATGCGTTTACTTACTTTCTAAATCAATCATACAGTGAACTGAAGTCATCAAACTTTCTGGCACAGAAGGGTGGTCC